GTACAATGAAAAGACCAGTACCCAGAAAGTACAGGCAGATGCCCATACCTGAAGCACTTGAAACTGCCAAACAGAGGCTCCAAGCCTTGGCCAGCCGCCTAAAGATATTCACAAGGGAGAATGAATCCAGAAGGATTAACCGGCTCTTCCCCACTCAACCAGCTAAGGTGTACTCTCAATGGCACGGTAATAACAACAGAGCAGACCCACCAAGGCTGGAGACTGAACAATACTGGAAAGGCATATGGGAAAGGGAGGCGTCCCACAACAGCAATGCACAGTGGCTGATCTCTCTACGAGAGGACCACAGCAACCTCCCTGAGCAAGCCCCGGTAACCATCACTGTGACAGATGTTCAAGAAAGAGTCTCAGGTATGAAAAACTGGACAGCACCAGGGCCTGACATGATCCATGCCTACTGGCTAAAGAAACTCACTGCTCTCCATGAGCGACTGGCAGCCCAAATGAACCAGCTGCTACAAAGTGGGACTCACCCTGAATGGTTAACTGAAGGGCGGACAATCCTAATCCAGAAGGATCCATCAAAGGGTCCAGTCCCACCCAACTACCGACCAATAACCTGCCTCTCCACAACCTGGAAGCTCATGTCAGGCATCATAGCGGCCAAGATAAGCAAACACATGGATAAACACATGAGCACGGCACAGAAGCGTATCGGTGTAAATACCAGAGGAGCCAAACACCACCTCCTCGTAGACCGCACAGTTGCCCGAGACTGCAAAACCCGACACACCAACCTGTGCATGGCTTGGATCGATTACAAGAAAGCCTATGACTCAATGCCGCATACTTGGATCATTGAATGCCTAGAGATGTATAACATCAACAGGATTCTGAGAGCCTTCATTGCAAACTCGATGAAGCTGTGGAAAACCACCCTTGAAGCCAACTGAAAACCACTTGCACAAGTGTCCATCAAATGTGGCATATACCAAGGAGATGCTCTGTCCCCGCTACTGTTCTGCATAGGCCTGAACCCCCTCAGCCAAATTATCAACAAGACTGGCTACGGATACAGACTCAAAAATGGGGCCAACATCAGTCACCTCCTCTACATGGATGACATCAAGCTGTATGCCAAGAGTGAGCGAGACATCGACTCACTGATCCACACCACCAGGATCTACAGCACTGACATTGGGATGTCATTCGGACTAGAGAAGTTGGTCGGCTGATCACAAAGAGGGGGAAGGTGATCCGCACAGAAGGAGTCTCACTCCCACAAGGAACAATAGCAGACATAGAGGACAGTTACAAGTACCTAGGTATACCACAAGCAAATGGCAACCTCTATGAGGCCACAAGGAAAGGAGCCACAGCTAAATACCTCCAACGAATAAGGCAAGTCCTGAGAAGCCAGCTCAATGGCAAGAACAAAATTCGTGCGATAAACAGCTATGCCCTGCCAGTAATCAGATACCCTGCTGGAATATTAGCTGGCCAAAGGAGGAGATAAAAGCCACAGATATTAAGACTAGAAAGCTACTAACCATGCATGGAGGGTTCCATCCCAAATCCAGCACCCTGAGACTGTACACGAGCCGCAAGGAAGGAGGCAGGACTAGTGAGTGTGAGAACCACTGTCCAGGACGAAACAACTAAGATCCATAAATACTTCAGGGACAAAGCCTCAACAGACAATGTGCTCAGTGAATGTCTCAGACAACAGGGAACGGAGGTTGAGGTGCCAGAGATACCATCATGGGAGGACAAGCCCCTACATGGGATGTACCACCAGCAAATAACCCAAGTGGCTGATATCAGTAAATCCTACCAATGGCTGGAAAAAGCTGGACTCAAGGACAGCACAGAGGCCCTCATCCTGGCCGCCCAGGAACAGGCCCTAAACACCAGAGCAATAGAGGCCCAGATCTACCACACCAGACAAGACCCAAGGTGTAGGTTGTGCAAGGAGGCCCTGAGACAGTCCAGCACATCATAGCAGGTGCAAGATACTGGCAGGGAAAGCGTACATGGAGCGACATAACCAAGTGGCAGGCATAGTGTACAGAAACATCTGTGCAGAATATGGACTGGAAACCCCGAGATCAAAGTGGGAAACACCCCCAAAGGTGGTGGAGAACGCCAGAGCTAAGATCCTGTGGGACTTCCAGATCCAGACAGACAAAATGGTAATGGCGAACCAACCAGACATTGTCGTAGTGGATAAACAACAGAGGAAAGCCGTTGTGGTAGATGTAGCAATACCAAGTGATTGCAACATCAGGAAAAAGGAGCACGAGAAACTGGAGAAATACCAGGGCCTCAGGGAAGAACTGGAGAGGGCCTGGAAGGTGAAGACCACAGTGGTGCCTGTGGTCATCGGGGCCCTCGGGGCAGTAACCCCCAACTGGAGCAGTGGCTACAACAGATCCCAGGAACAACATCAGACATCTCAGTCCAGAAATGTCCAGTCCTTGGCACAGCCAAGATACTGCGCAGAACCCTCAAGCTCCCAGGCCTCTGGTAGAGGACCCGAGCTCAGAGGATAAGAACCACCCGCGGTGGGTGAGAAGGAAATTTTTTTTTTATTTATTGATTTAAATTTAAAATGTCTTTAATCAACAACTGAAAAGCTTTATCAGTTATTAAAAGATGCAAAAAAATTTTTTTTATAATTTTTGAAAAAAAAATAAAATAAAAAAAATAATGAGTACGGTAGTGGCTGCTCAGACAGTGCCCTATTTTTTTTTTTTAACAAATATGACCTTTTGGTCATGTTTTTTTAATTATTATTTGTTTTCTTCTAGCAATGCAATCAGTACTTTTTTATATATATATATTTTATATAAATTTATTTTTTAAATTTTATATATATATATATTAGTTGTTTTATAATGCAGGATAAATAATGGCAAATTAGATTTATAGATTATATAAAGATTATATACAGATCGTGCATGTGAGGGAAACAGTCCGGAGATGGGGGGTACAGTCCTTATAGTTTGTGTAGTTTGTGTCAGGAGGCGTTCAGGAGCGTGACAGCTGTGGGGAAGAAGCTGTTCCGGTGCCTTGTTGTTCTGGTCCGTAGGCTTCTGTAACGCCTCCCAGAGGGCAGGAGAGAGAAGAGTGTGTGTGCAGGGTGAGTGAAGTCCTTGGTGATTTTCCCGGCCCTTTTCAGACACTGCTTCCTGTAGATGTCATTGATGGCAGGGAGCGATGCCCTGGCGATGTGCTGGGCAGTTTTCACCACCCTCTGCAGAGCCTTCCTGTCGGAGACAGAGCAGGTCCCATACCAAACTGTGATGCAGTTGGTGAGGATGCTCTCAATGGTGCAGCGGTAAAAGTTGGTGAGGATCTCTGAGGACAGGTGGTTCTTCCTCAAGGTTCTCATGAAGAAGAGGCGCTGGTGCGCCTTCTTGACGAGTTTGGAGCAGTTGGTTGTCCAGGTCAGGTCCTCAGAGATGGGGACTCCCACGAACTTAAAGCTGTTCACACGCTCCACCGCTATTCCCTTGATGTGGATGGGTGGGTGCAGGTCAGCATTCCTCCTGAAGTCCACGATGAGGTCCTTGGTCTTCTCGGTGTTCAGCTGCAGGTAGTTCTTGTCGCACCACTCAGCCAGATGGTCCACCTCCTCCCTGTAGGCGACCTCATCGTTGTCTCTGATGAGGCCGACCACCGTGATGTCATCTGCAAACTTGATGATGGCATTAGAGCCATGGACAGGTCTGCAATCGTGGGTGAAGAGAGAGTAGAGGAAGGGACTCATCACACAGCCTTGTGGCACTCCGGTGTTTATGATGATGGTGGATGAGAAGTGATTGTCCAGCCGGACGTGTTGGGGTCGACTGGTCAGGAAGTCGAGCAACCAGTTGCACATGAGTGAACTGATGCTGAGGTCTGTGAGTTTGTGATGGAAGGAAAGTGTTAAATGCTGAACTAAAGTCTAAGAACAGCATTCTGGCATAAGTGTTCTTGTTGTCCAGGTGAGAAAGGACAGAGTGCAGCGCTATGGAGACTGCATCCTCTGTGCTCCTATTCTGCCTGTATGCAAATTGGTGGGGATCCAGTGTGGGGGGGAGAAAGGATCTGAGGTGTGCTAGGACCAGCCACTCCAAGCACTTGGTGATGATGGGAGTGAGGGCTATCGGACGATAGTCATTGAGTCTGGTCAGGTTGAGATTCTTAGAAATTGGGACGATGGAGGTAGACTTGAAGCAGGTCGGTACCACGGCGCAGGCCAGGGACAGGTTGAAAATGTCCATCAGCACTCCTGCCAGCTCCCCAGAGCACGCTCTGAGGACACGTCCAGGTATGCCATCAGGACGCGCAGCCTTGTTGGATTTAATCCTGCTCAGAGCCGCTCCTACATCAGTGGAGAGGAGAGTCAGTGGCTGTTGATCTGGGGTAGTAGCTGTCTTAATTGCAGTTATAGTGTTCCCTCTCTCAAAACGAGCATAGAAGTTGTTAAGCTCGTTGAGGAAGGAGACATCAGCGGAGGCGGTGGAGGTGGTGGAGTTCTTGTGATCTGTGAGAATCTGAAGGCCTTGCCACATGCGTCGGGGGTTGGAGTTGGAAAAGTGATCCTCCACCTTTCTTTTGTAGTGGTGTTTGACCTTCTTGATTCCCCTCTTCAGTTCAGCCCTGGCTGCGCCGTAGGTCTGTGCATCCCCTGACCTGAAAGCGATGTTACGGGCCTTCAGCAGGAGACGAACATCTTGGTTCATCCAGGGTTTCTGGTTGGGGTACATGGTGATGTGTTTGTGAATGGTGACACAGTCTATGGTGGTGGAGATGTGGTCCAGTACAGATGAGGCATACTGATCCAAGTCTGTGTGGTGGAAAGTATTCCAATCTGTATTCCTGAACTGGTCCTGGAGCACAGCGTCTGAGCCCTCTGGCCACACCTTTACTGTCCTCACAGTAAAGGTGATCCTGGGTTGTTTAGTTTCTACGTTTCTATTGTGTTTTGATTTTTCATTATTTCCTTCTTTATGAATGCCCAGCCTAGATATCATTTTTTTGCTGTTTCTATCTTAGTTTATTCTATCCTTTGTCAGTTCCTTCTGTTTTCCTCAGTGATAGTCTCTCAGCTACTTTGTGTTAATTTTCAATAAACCCTTTATTCTGTCTCAAATTCTGCCTACATCTTCAGTTCGCTAAGCATCATTATGACATACATGCACAAGAACACATGAACAATTTGTTTACATAAAAAGAAAAGAAAATATAAAAAGTCAGTGGAAGAAAACATTTCACAGTTAAATAACTCAAAATTATAACAACGACTTCAACTGTAAATGTAGTGAGTATATATGTGATAATATATGTAAAAATTTGTATATTTGCGTATATAATAAAGCAAACGATGGTGGTCGTACCAGGAAATATGATTTTCAGCGCCAGCAAATGAACTCTGGATGCTATTTTGTATCATAACAGATATTAAAACCTAAACAGCCTCAGTATTTGTTTCAGTCCAGCTTTCATGATCTGTGCTGATCGTCTCCAGAATGGTAGATATTTTACAAAAACAGATTGAAGCCAGAAACTTATCCAGGATGCTTTTCCGAGTGAACAAATACAAAGTTGTGTCAGCAAGAGGACTAAGAAAAACACAAACTAAAGCCGTTATATAGCTATTTACGTGGCTTTTGCTATTCAAAACTCCATACACACCTAAGAGCAAACTGATGATGGGCAGATAAAGCAGACTGTAAATAATCAGCACAGCAACCTGAATGGCTACTATTCGTCGTTTTTCATCTTCAGGGACACCGAGCGCTGCAGACAGAGCTTTGATAGTCCCAACCAGAAAGAAGATGAAGAAGGGAAAAGGCAGGACGAAAATAATTATGAAGAAGATGTCAGCCATCATATACTCCTTTATCCCATTGCCAAGTAGTAGATAAAAAAGTGGAAGTGACCAGACCACAATGCAGACCACCACATATGTCTTGATGTTTCTCCTGAATCTGTACCACAGAGGCTTGGCAATGACCAGATACCTGCAATAACAGAAAGACATGTTTAGTCTCTGAAGGCTGTTAAGGGCCGATTAATATTTTTATATCAGACAAAAGGAGTAAACATGGAAACATACCTTTCAAAGGAGATACACACCATGAATCCAACACTGACCATCACACCAAGATCTGCAATAACCATGTATGTGACATTATTTTTACCGGGTCTAGTAAAATCTGCTGGAATCCTGCAGCAGAGCTGAATGATATCAGAGACGAGGAGGTTGATGACATAGACTGGAGCATCCTGACCCTTTCTCACCTGTGAGAAAAAAAAAACAGAAAAATAATAATGGAATGATAATATTGTGTTATTAATATTAAAATGTTGCTTATTCCAAACATTCCAGTCATTTCTAGGGAAAAGACAGACTTAAACCTGACATAAGACAAAACCATCATAAAACACTAAAGATAAATAAACCCTTTCATCAAACTTTTTTGACAGGTGACCTTTGACCCTGACATCCGGTGACCAGAAACCAAATGTCTGGTTGTCAGAAATTACAATACCAGATATCCAGCCAGCGGATGTCAGGGAGCCAGATATCATGCAACTGGATGAGTCAGTTTTATGAAAACATAAAATAACTGTATCATAATTCTACTCTCTGGATTAAGTTACATTTGGAATCAGGTCTCTGTCCAGCTGCAGCCCAGTAGGGTTGGTTTTTCCCCTGACTTAGAACTCACACAGTTAAACAAGCTGCAGTTTCCTCTCTACTATAAAACCAGAATGATGTTTCAGAATATCCGACTGGATGTCAGGGTCAAAGGTCACCTTTTCTCCATCAAAAAAGTTTGATGGAAGGGTGTTCTTTTAGTTTATCACAGTTTTAATGTAACATTATTTCTGCTGTTTGTGTTGTTTGTCAACAACAAAAACATCACAGTGAGCTTCCCTACTGGTCCACTAGTCACTCTGTGTACTGTGACGAAGCTCCACGTTAGTCTTTGAACACAACTACCATTACTATTCAGAAGAGAACCAGATTTGATGGCTTACCACAGTTGAGCGCTGAACAGACTGTTTAGAATTTTCAGTTTTCCTTTGAATTTATAAGCAACCAGTAGGGGGCGCCAAAAACCACTCATTTAAAGAACAAACTCTTAGTCAAATAGCACATTAATTGTTAATAAATAGGCTAAAGTTTCAATGTACTCACCTGTGAAAAAACTGCAATCATCACGACAAGAATTAAAAGAAATCCAATGCCAATGGTGATCTGATTTAGCAAATGTAAGAATTTTAAAAGGTTCAACCAAAAAGTCGAGTCAGAACGAGGATTATAGTTAAATAATGTGCTGTTGTCATCCAAATAGCTGTTATTGAAACTGTTTTCTTCTGTCATGTTTGAGTTCATCTCTTCCATCCTAATATTGATGATGGGAGTAACTGTAAACAGATATGATGATACATGTGTAAAATATGTCTAATTGATCTGGAATCAAGGATCCTTAAATCCAGGCCTGGAGGGCCGATGTCCTTCAGCCTTTATATATTCCTGGTTCAACACACCTCAGTCAAATATCTCAACACGTCCTCAGTATGCAGTCAAGATCTCCAGAGTGACTTGTGGCCTGAAACAGACACAATAAATTCTAAATATTCATGTATTCAATATATTCACAAGTGGACAAATTTCATCATCATCATCATCAGATTTTTCATATTGTTCTTTTTGTTTTCTAACTGAGTTCAGTCTATGAATATCCAACCTGAAAAATCCAAACATGTCCTTTCAGTATATAAAATATCACTTTGTGTGAGTTCATAAATGTGTTATCCAGACAAACCACCTTAGCAGCTACTTTATAGACTCCTATTCTTCCAACCCAGAAAAGGAATTAGACCAGATGATACTTACTTACTAACTGATACTTATCTAGCAACGCTGAATAGGAGAATCTAGTTTATCTAGTAAATATACTTTAGATTAACATTATCAGATTTTTCTTCTTTTCTTAATATAAAATACACTTTTTATAAAAATGTTATGTTGTTTTATTCTCCACAAAAACACAAAGAGAATAAACTTTAAGATACTGTTGTTAGTTTATAAACCACTGAACATCTTAACATTAAAGATCTGTTGTTGACATAGCAACCTTCCAGACCTCTCAGGTCCTCTGGTTCTGCTCTGCATCCTCAGAACCAGAACCAAACAAGGACAAGCAGCATTCAGCTTCTATGCACCACAAATCTGGAACAAACCTCCACAAAACAATCATAACAACTGAAACACTGAGCTCCTTTAAATCACAAAACAACTCACCTGATCAGAGTTGCTTTTGAAAAATAATAAATGATACACTGACCAACAGTTTGATGAGTAATGTTTACTGGTTTTCTAAGTTTTTGATTGTGTTTCCTATGACTGTGTATTTTTGTGTTGTTATGATGTAAAGCTCTTTGAACTGCCTTGCTGCTGACATGTGCTTTCAAAGCTGATCCATTGATTATATTGACAGAACTGACTGAGTTTATCAGGAGAAATTCACACTTGAAAGTTCCTAAAATGAAACTTGACATCTGCTTTGGTTCAGGATTTGTGTTTTCAGCAGTAGAAAAAGATCAGTTAGTTCAGATAAAACCATGAGTGGATATCAAAAAGCTGATGACCCTAAACCCCCTAATAAAGGTTTAGGGGAAAAATGCAAACAAAGTGCAAACATTGTTCCACATATTAGTTTAGATTTTTGCTGTATGCTGAAAAGAAGCTTTTCCAGTCATTTTGATGACTCAAAGCGCTTTACACTAGAGTCACATTCAGCCATTCACACTCACATTTACACACCTATTCCCAGACCGGTAGGCAGCACCCTATGGAGCTTCACAGAACATAAACCTGGCCACATCATGTCGTCATAGAAACAGCTACCAAACAAACTGACAGCATAAATTTAATGTAACATTATTTGTATTTAAACAATGTTCAAAATAAATGACATATGAACAGTTTTAGTGAGATTTTTATGTTAAGAAATTAAAAAATATTTTAAATGTGCAGAAAAGGGAATAAAAATGTGAAATCAGGGAATATTTAGTTACATTTAACTTCAGTTTGAAATTGTTTAAATTTCTAGTCACTCACTAGTGACCAGTGAGTGGAGGCTCACTGGTCACTAGTGGACCAGTGAGCTTCCCTACTGGTCCACTAGTCACTCTGTGTACTGTGACGAAGCTCCACGTTAGTCTTTGAACACAACTACCATTACTATTCAGAAGAGAACCAGATTTGATGGCTTACCACAGTTGAGCGCTGAACAGACTGTTTGGAATTTTCAGTTTTCCTTTGTATTTATAAGCAACCAGTAGGGGGCGCCAAAAACCACTCATCACAGGACAATCATGAAACATATTTTAGCAAGAATTTCATTTATATCTAATACTGTTGCATTAGTATTTATACACAATACATTACAATTACTTTGCAATGTCACCTTGTCAGTTTTTATTTTTCATTTTCGGACCGGTGAAGCAATTGAGATCCGACTGTGGAACTAACTTCCTCGGAGAGTGCAAGGAACTTGGCAAAAACTCCAACTCACTGCTTTTGCAATCTTTTTTGGCATCGTTGGAGGAGTCAATACTTGCCAACCTTTCAACCGTGGCGAAAGTGGCAATCAGGGAAACCTAATCTTCAAGTTGTGCTTTTGAAGGACTGTCAAGCCAAGAGGAACCAGTGGCCCATGGACATTGTGGTTAATACCTTCCCTAGCCAACATGGACATGTTAGAAAGCTTGGAATTAAAGTCCATTCTGAAGGTACATGTAAGACCTTCTTGAGGCCAGTTACTTGAGTTGTTCTCCTTCTGAGAAACACCTGTGGCAAGAATAGTAGTTAGATATAAGGAGACATCTTTCAATGTCAGGTGATGAGTGTGTCGGCAGTAATTCTTCCCAGCCAGCAGATGGTGGTGTGTTCATGTTAAGTTTGTTATTGAACAGTAGAATGAGTTCAGCAACAAATGTATTTTGGCTACGTCAGTGAAAGTGACATACGCCTGTCAATTGTCTAAGAGTTTATCTATCTGCACACCTGTTACGTGGAAAACACAGTGGGGGCAGAAAACCTTCAAAAAGCATAAAAATATACTTGAGTAAATACATGCATTTGCAAACAATTCAATATTCTGACCAAGAGGAAGGAAAAATCTTCAGGTCTCATTCAAACTAATTCAATCGTAGAGACTCACACAGAGAAAAAGCAGCAGTTAGAAAGTTTTATTGACCCAAAGTTCTTTGGCGGTCGGACACCGGCAGAAGACGTGAGTGCTTAGAATCGAAGTGAACTTGGATGATTAGCTCAGGGCAAAGCTGAGAGTAATCTTCCCCTCAAAAGAGCATGCTGATCCGAGAGCTGACTGATGCCTGCAGGCTAAACGAATTTTGATAGGTGAGGCAATTGGACGAGACCTGCAGCTGATGGGGCCTGCAAGGCTGATGGCCGTCCGGGTGATGCGGCCAGCGCACGTAGACAGATAGGAGTTAGAATTGCTGAAACAGTCCACCAGCAATGATTTCTTGTGAATGCTTACCCATTGTCTGGGAGCAGTGAGAATGGAGGAGAGATCTGGGAGGATACTTGAGGAGGATGCTGCCAATGACCAGCGGCTGTGTTGATGAAAGGGAATTACGACTGAACCTTGAGGAGCATTCCATGTTGCCTGTGATCTAAATATGAGGCCTGGAAATGGCCAAAGGGAATGCACATAGATCTTGGATTTCAAAGAAATTTAAAGACCAGGCAGAGCTGTGGAGACTTCAGGAGAGGGACGTTATCATTGAGAGCCAAGATCACTGACTTGAGAACATGGTGTGAGAGTCATAGATGCAGGACCTTCAATCAGCCTGATCATTCTGAAACTCATTTACTAGAATGGGATGATGGACAAACAGCTGCAGAGATAAGCTATATTAGATGATGGATTTCAGTGACATTTTTACCCATCATTCATCAAGGAAAGTACATTTTTATTTATATACCACAATTGTAGCAACAAGGCAGTTCAAAGAACTTTAGAAGGAAATACAGAACCTAAAGTGAAGCAAAAGTAGGACCCAACAAGGAACAAAGAACACAGGAGGGGTTAAATACACAGAGAGTAATCACAGAAAGGAGACACATCTGGGAATAATGAAGAGGAGACAGGCCAAAACGGAGACTCAGAGACACAGAAACTCAAAGTAAACACAGAGAAAAATACAGATCACGACGTTATCCGCCCCCCTCAACGTTGGCTACCAGACGGCCATAAGAGAAAAACAATCCAAAACCAGGATTGGCGGAGGGGCACTGGACAGGGGCCAAGAGTTCAAAACAACAAAAAACAATCCAACAGACTGGACGGAGGCGCAGGAGCTGGAATCCACAAGGAAGGTCCGGCGGACGTTGATGGCACAGAAGACGGACATTATGGGGAAGATCCTGTAGGCCATGTCTGCTTGATGGCCGGACGCTTGGAGAAGGCGACGAGGGGGGGCACAAGGAGGCGGGGACTCGGGAATACCGGGACCCATAGGGGGAGGGAACTCAGAGGGGGCACTAGGAAATAACTCACTTACTGGGGCAATTAAGCCCCTAAGTGGGGAAGTTAACCCACTCACTGGGGCTGGAGACCTACTTATAGGGGCTGCAGCTGGCTCTGGAACGGTAATATGTATTAATACTTGGACTGTTGCATGTAATTGGGGCTCTTAGCTGATGGTGCTTATTTATTGATTCTTCATTTATTGATGTACTAAAATACCAAAACTGGCTGGTAAATTCAGAAAGCTATTAGCAGACAAAAAATTAGCATGAACCTGACTTTGAAATATAGTTTATGACTTTAAAAGTTTATAAGATTGATTTTGTCGGACTTGTGTCCATTTGACTAACAACACAAACTATAAAAATATTTTCCTCTCCCGTTGTTATCACTCTTGCAGGTATTTTTAGGTATGATATGAGGATCATTGTTGCCAAAGGCAGCTGCACTTTGCTGCCATCTCCTGCCATCTGCTGGAGTTGATGGGATTTGCAACAACTGAAGGTTTTTCATGGAATCTGATTGGTGATCCATTGCAGAAATAAAGTAACAGCCTTTTGTGCTTGTTTTAATAATTTCTGCATTCTGTTGAAGATCTCCAGGTTTAAAAAAGAAAATAAAAGGTTAGTTTCCTTTCAAAGATGTCTTTATAAAGGAGATAAAAGGCTGATCTACTTTTTTTAATAACTTAAATTACGTAAAAGTCTTTGTGATTTTGAGGAAAACATGAACTGTCTGATCTCAAACAACAATGCTCCAAAATATTTAATGAGATTTTGAGATTGAGTCAAACTGAAGGAAACTGGTTGTACTGGATTTTATTTAGGAATAAGTTGCATTACATTGATTTGTGCATCTGTATTTAATGTGTCATTAAGCTTCCACTTAACAGTTATGCACTTCTTTGTTCTGGTGACTCAGTAAAATCCCAGAAAATTATTTTATTTACAAATTTTTACCAATATTATCATTTGTAAAATGATAAAATGTGGAAGAGATGTTAATATTTTTAATGAAGTGCATTATTGAACACTCACAAATTTTGAATATAAATTAGGCTTTCTGGTATAGAAAAGAAAGTGGCTGCTGCATTGTTGGCAGAATAAATTCAAAACTAGAAGTTTATTGTGACTTTTTAGGCAAACTAAAGATCTGAACACAAGAGGGCTCTCTTGTTTCATCTAAGATCAGGAGACTTTCAGTACTTTAATATTTTGCAAGAAGGTTTTAATAAAGGTTTTCTTTTTTAGCCATTTGTTTCATACTGACCCAGAAAAGCTGAACTTTAATGTTCGTTTTCTTATCAAACTGTAGTTGAATTGAATTAGTTCCTGCAAGAGATTCTTTTCCAATTATTCACTCCTTTCCAACAGCAGCTGGCTGCAGCTCACTGCTCAGGTCTAACTGTTGTCACAGCTCTGTATTAAAGGACAATTCAGAGATTTGATGCTGGTGATTAAATCACGTTTATTAGTTTGGCTGCACATCTGTCTTGCTGTAGGTTGTAAGCTTTGTAAGTTTGTACGGTAAGAAAACTTTATATTTTACTATAATTTATACTTTAGTATATGCAAGAAGACGGGTCTGTTTCTTGATTTACCAGCAGCAGAGGGTTTAGAAATATTTGACTGAAAGTTTTGGTTTTAACATTTACATCAATAGTTTCAAGAGCCATCTTTTAATTACGTTGTTTGTACTTTTAAAGTGTATGTTCAGTTGAACAATGTGGCTAAATAGAAAGGCTCTAACTGCTAACTTGTGTTCCTTTATAAATCACTGAATGCCTTGTTGGCTGCGAATGATGGAAGAGGAAACAAAGAGTAGATTTTCAGAAACAAGTCCTGGTGTAAATGAGAAACATCCTCTCCAAACTCCACAGTGATTGGACTAATGTCAGGTTCATTGGTTTCTGTTGTGGTAATGTCTGAATAATTCAAGCTTTCTCTCACCTCTAACCTCTGTTCATATCCCTCTTAAGCACTTCCAGCCCCAAAAAACAGCCAATGCAGGAACCTCAGATCGACTGATCCAAATGTAGAAGTGTTGTTGAAATTGTTAAAATTGTGAGTTTTGATTATTTTGAGGTGAGCTGAGGGAGTTCTTGCTTGTTTACAGCAGAACGTTTACATGATTATGTTTGTACAATGAACAATAATCTAATGAACAGAAATCAATGGAAAAGCTTTAACCTTCTTCCTGTGAACATCGACTTAGAGCTTAAATCAGAATGTACCTGAAAATGTTTCTGATTTTAACACCCATTCATCAAAACATTTGTCACAGCCAGTCTGAGTCTGTTATGGGCCTCACTTGTAAAATAATCAATCAGTCTGCTCAGACCACACTGGTCAGTTTCTGAATCTTTTAACTGTCTCTGGTCTTTTGTTGCCTTATTTTTGTCTTCAAACCTAAAAATATCTCTTGAATATATTCAGAGATAATAAAAAGCTTTGCACTTTGCACAACAGGTTTTAGATTAAATCAATGAAACATATAATTTTAGAAACAGGATCCAACTTACAGTTTTGGATAGAATAAACTGGTTAAAATAAATTAGTTTTGATATTCCAGATTTATTTTATATTTCCCGTTTTGTGTGTTTGCTTCATAATGTTATGGTTTACCTCAAAGAGCAATAAATGAATATTTAAACCACATGTCAGAATGAATTAAACACTCATTTTAATAAGTAAAACATCAGCACAAATACAAAATCTTCCCAGTTGGAAGCCGTGCAGAGACTTTCAGAAAGACACAGATAGTTTTTAGATGCAGGTCAGAATAAGCTTTCATTTGGCATCAATAAGAAGAAATTAAGCATTTATATATGTAATAATACATGTAGAAATATGTAATATAAACGATGGTGGTCTAACAAGGAAATATGATTTTCAGTGCCAGCAAATGAACTCTGGATGCTGTTTTGCATCACAACAGATATTAAAACCTAAACAGTCTCAGTATTTGTTTCAGTCCTGTTTTCATGATCTGTGCTGATCGTCTCCTGAATGTTATATATTTCACAAGAACAGATTGAAGCCAGAAACTTATCCAGGATGGTTTTCCGAGTGAACAAATACAAAGTTGTGTCTGCAAGAGGACTAAGAAAACCACAAAGAAAATCCACCATTAAGCTCCTTCTATAGCATTCGCCAGTCAAAACTCCATACGCATCTAAGAGCACACTCATCTTGGGCAGATAAAGCAGACTATAAATAATCAGCACAGCAACCTGAATGGCTACTATTCGTCGTTTTTCATCTGCTGATACACTGAGCGCTCCAGAAAGAGCTTTGATAGTCCCAACCAGGAAGAAGACTAAGAAGGGAAAAGGCAGGAGGAGAACAATCATGAAGAAGGTGTCAGCCATCGTATACTCCTTTATCCACCGCCTAATACTGGAAACAAAATTGGAAGTATCCAGACCACAATGCAGACCACCACATATCTCTTGTTCTTTCTGCTGAATCTGTACCACAGAGGCTTGGCAATGACCAGATACCTGCAATAACAGAAAGACATGTTTAGTCTCTGAAGGCTATTAAGGGCAGATTAATGTTTTTATATCAGACAAAAGGAGTAAATATGGAAACATACCTTTCAAAGGAGATACACACCATGAATCCAACACTGACTATTACACCAAGATCTATAATAATTATGTATGTGGAATCAACATCATTGAGTCTAGTAAAATCTAGTGGAATCCTGCAGCAGAGCTGAAAGATATCAGAGACGAGGAGGTTGATGACATAGACTGGAGCATCCTGACCCTTTCTCACCTGTGAGAAAAAAAAAACAGAAAAATAATAATGGAATGATAATATTGTGTTATTGATATTAAAATGTTGCTTATTCCAAACATTCCAGTCATTTCTAGGGAAAAGACAGACTTAAACCTGACATAAGACAAAACCATCATAAAACACTAAAGATAAATAAACCCTTTCATCAAACTTTTTTGACAGGTGACCTTTGACCCTGACATCCGGTGACCAGAAACCAAATGTCTGGTTGTCAGAAATTACAATACCAGATATCCAGCCAGCGGATGTCAGGGAGCCAGATATCATGCAACTGGATGAGTCAGTTTTATGAAAACATAAAATAACTGTATCATAATTCTACTCTGGATTAAGTTACATTTGGAATCAGGTCTCTGTCCAGCTGCAGCCCAGTAGGGTTGGCTTTTCCCCTGACTTAGAACTCACACAGTTATACAAGCTGCAGCTTCCTCTCTACTATAAAACCAGAATGATGTTTCAGAATATCCGACTGGATGTCAGGGTCAAAGGTCACATTTTCTCCATCAAAAAAGTTTGATGGAAGGGTATTCTTTTAGTTTATCACAGTTTAAAGAACTCTTAGTCAAATATCACATTCACTGTTAATGAATAGGCTAAAGTTTCAATGTACTCACCTGTAAAAAAACTGCAATCATCACGATAAGAATTAAAACAAATCCAATGCCAATGGTGATCCGATTTAGCACATGTAAGAATTTGAAAATGCCGATCCAAAAAGCCAAGTCAAAACTAAGATTATCGTCTAATGATGAGCCGTTGTCGTCGCCTTTGTAGAAATTGAAATAGTCATAGACATCCTCATCATCCTCATCATCCTCATCAGTGTAATCGAAACCGGTTTGGAAATGGTAATTGAATGCTGTAGTGTTTATGTTCATCTCATCCATCCTAATATTGATGATGGGAGTAACTGTAAACAGATAATGATACATGTGTAAAATATGTCTAATTGATCTGGAATCAAGGATCCTTAAATCCAGGCCTGGAGGGCCGATGTCCTTCAGCCTTTATATATTCCTGGTTCAACACACCTCAGTCAAATATCTCAACACGTCCTCAGTATGCAGTCAAGATCTCCAGAGTGACTTGTGGCCTGAAACAGACACAATAAATTCTAAATATTCATGTATTCAATATATTCACAAGTGGACAAATTTCATCATCATCATCATCAGATTTTTCATATTGTTCTTTTTGTTTTCTAACTGAGTTCAGTCTATGAATATCCAACCTGAAAAATCCAAACATGTCCTTTCAGTATATAAAATATCACTTTGTGTGAGTTCATAAATGTGTTATCCAGACAAACCACCTTAGCAGCTACTTTATAGACTCCTATTCTTCCAACCCAGAAAAGGAATTAGACCAGATGATACTTACTTACTAACTGATACTTATCTAGCAACGCTGAATAGGAGAATCTAGTTTATCTAGTAAATATACTTTAGATTAACATTATCAGATTTTCTTCTTTTCTTATATAAAATACACTTTTTATAAAAATGTTATGTTGTTTTATTCTCCACAAAAACACAAAGAGAATAAACTTTAAGATACTGTTGTTAGTTTATAAACCACTGAACATCTTAACATTAAAGATCTGTTGTTGACATAGCAACCTTCCAGACCTCTCAGGTCCTCTGGTTCTGCTCTGCATCCTCAGAACCAGAACCAAACAAGGACAAGCAGCATTCAGCTTCTATGCACCACAAATCTGGAACAAACCTCCACAAAACAATCATAACAACTGAAACACTGAGCTCCTTTAAATCACAAAACAACTCACCTGATCAGAGTTGCTTTTGAAAAATAATAAATGATACACTGACCAACAGTTTGATGAGTAATGTTTACTGGTTTTCTAAGTTTTTGATTGTGTTTCCTATGACTGTGTATTTTTGTGTTTATGATGTAAAGCTCTTTGAACTGCCTTGCTGCTGACATGTGCTTTCAAAGCTGATCCATTGATTATATTGACAGAACTGACTGAGTTTATCAGGAGAAATTCACACTTGAAAGTTCCTAAAATGAAACTTGACATCTGCTTTGGTTCAGGATTTGTGTTTTCAGCAGCAGAAAAAGATCAGTTAGTTCAGATAAAACCATGAGTGGATATCAAAAAGCTGATGACCTTAAACCCCCTAATAAAGGTTTAGGGGAAAAATGCAAACAAAGTGCAAACATTGTTCCACATATTAGTTTAGATTTTTGCTGTATGCTGAAAAGAAGCTTTTCCAGTCACTTTGATGACTCAAAGCGCTTTACACTAGAGTCACATTCAGCCATTCACACTCACATTTACACACCTATTCCCAGACCGGTAGGCAGCACCCTATGGAGCTTCACAGAACATAAACCTGGCCACATCATGTCGTCATAGAAACAGCTACCAAACAAACTGACAGCATAAATTTAATGTAACATTATTTGTATTTAAACAATGTTCAAAATAAATGACATATGAACAGTTTTAGTGAGATTATGTTAAGAAATTAAAAAATATTTTAAATGCGCAGAAAAGGGAATAAAAATGTGAAATCAGGATATTTAGTTACATTTAACTTCAGTTTGAAATTGTTAAATTTCTAGTCACTCACTAGTGACCAGTGAGTGGAGGCTCACTGGTCACTAGTGGACCAGTGAGCTTCCCTACTGGTCCACTAGTCACTCTGTGTACTGTGACGAAGCTCCACGTTAGTCTTTGAACACAACTACCATTACTATTCAGAAGAGAACCAGATTTGATGGCTTACCACAGTTGAGCGCTGAACAGACTGTTTGGAATTTTCAGTTTTCCTTTGAATTTATAAGCAACCAGTAGGGGGCGCCAAAAACCACTCATCACAGGACAATCATGAAACATATTTTAGCAAGAATTTCATTTATATCTAATACTGTTGCATTAGTATTTATACACAACACATTACAATTACTTTCTAATGTCACCATGTCAGTTTTTAATTTTCATTTTCGGACCGGTGAAGCAATTGAGATCCGACTGTGGAACTAACTTCCTCGGAGCGTGCAAGAAACTTGGCAAAAACTCCAACACACTGCTTTTGCAATCTTTTTTGGCATCGTTGGAGGAGTCAATACTTGCCAACCTTTCAACCGTGGCGAAAGTGGCAATCAGGGAAAACCTAATCTTCAAGTTGTGCTTTTGAAGGACTGTCAAGCCTAGAGGAACCAGTGGCCCATGGACATTGTGGTTAATACCTTCCCTAGCCAACTTGGACAAGTTAGGAAGCTTGGAATTAAAGTCCATTCTGAAGGTACATGTAAGACCTTCTTGAGGCCAGTTACTTGAGTTGTTCTCCTTCTGAGAAACACCTGTGGCAAGAATAGTAGTTAGATATTGTTCTTTCGTGTTTGATATAAATCAGATGTTGTGCTTCTTCTTAGATGCTTTTATTAAAATCGCTCTGGCTCGTTCGCTCATACAGGTTGCACAAAGGTGTCTCACTAATGACTGACTACTACTGTTGTCCTATTCTTGACATTTATGCGATCACCTATGTTCGTGATTGCCATCTAGTGGACATAAACAATTCATTCAATCATCATATCCTCCTTTCTTTAAAGTTAGAATGTTACAATATGAATCCTGTCTAAAATTAACAACAACCCTTGTATGAGACAGATAGAGCATAATATCACATAGCTATAATAAAAATCACTTAATCTCTTACTTAGTACTCATTAAAAACATGAATTACAAAATACATACATTTCAACTTTTTTTCTGTTTTTCTCTTTTTCCCCCTTTTTTTTTACAACATCAGTCTATCAGGTTTCTTTACCACTCTGGTAGATCTTCTTAACACAGGTGGTGGATTGTCCTTAATACTGTCCATGTCACAATGCGTTTCGGTTGTAGGAATAATCTGAGAGTCCTTACAATCTTCACTCGACTCATCAACACGTTCAAATTGAGTTTTCAACAAACTGCGACGATTTCGTCTCAGAATATGTCCATCTTCAGTTTTCACTTCAAATGAACGTGGAGCTACTTCCTATAGAATAGTTGATTTCATTTTCCATCCCTCATCATCCTGAATCCTTATTGGGTCCTGGTATGACAGTGGGGGTAGAAGCTTTGCTGATCTGTCATAATATGACTTTTGTTTTGCTTTCTGCTTTCGTAACTTGTACTCCAACTTTGACGATTTCTTTGCTCTTTGTTCTTTACTGTCATAACTTGGCAAAGTTGTACAAATCTTTCGATTCATCAAAAGTTCAGCAGGTGAATATCCGCATTGCAATGGTGATGATCTATAGCTTAATAAAGCTAAATACGGGTCAGAGTTACTATCTGCAGCCTTCTTCAGAAGTTGCTTAAGAATATGAACTCCTTTCTCCGCTTTTTCATTTGATTGTGCATAATGTGGACTTGATGTTACATGCCTAAAATCATATTGTTCCGTAAATCTTTGCCATTCTCTGCTATTAAAACATGGTCCATTATCACTCCACATTAACATGTGGAATGCCATGCCTTGCACAGAGTGATTTAGCATGTGTTATGACACAATTTGATGACATATTAGCCAACAGAGCCATCTCAGGATAGTTTGAATAGTAATCAATGATCACTAAATAGTCTTTTCCTTTAAGATGAAATAAATCCATTCCAAATTTTAGCCATGGTGATGTTGGAATGTCAGATATTATCATTGGTTCTTTGAATAAATGATGGTTTAATAAATAAAGTACAGCCAAATAATCCACAGTACAGCACAGCTGAGCGGAAAGGCAAAGGCTCAACACTGGTAGCAAAACTGGCACACGAATGGACGGCTGATGGCAGACTGGTACACACATACGACTAGGACCCGACAAGGAACAAAGAACACAGGAGGGGTTAAATACAGAGAGTAATCACAGAAAGGAGACACATCTGGGAATAATGAAGAGGAGACAGGCCAAAACGGAGACTCAGAGACACAGAAACTCAAAGTAAACACAGAGAAAAATACAGATCACGACGTTATCCGCCCCCCTCAACGTTGGCTACCAGACGGCCATAAGAGAAAAACAATCCAAAACCAGGATTGGCGGAGGGGCACTGGACAGGGGCCAAGAGTTCAAAACAACAAAAAACAATCCAACAGACTGGACGGAGGCGTAGGAGCTGGAACCCACAAGGAAGGTCCGGCGGACGTTGATGGCACAGAAGACGGACATTATGGGGAAGATCCTGTAGGCCTGTCTGCTTGATGGCCGGACACTTGGAGAAGGCGACGAGGGGGGGCACAAGGAGGCGGGGACTCGGGAATACCGGGACCCATAGGGGAGGGAACTCAGAGGGGGCACTAGGAAATAACTCACTTACTGGGGCAATTAAGCCCCTAAGTGGGGAAGTTAACCCACTCACTGGGCTGGAGACCTACTTATAGGGGCTGCAGCTGGCTCTGGAACGGTAATATGTATTAATACTTGGACTGTTGCATGTAATTGGGGCTCTTAGCTGATGGTGCTTATTTATTGATTCTTCATTTATTGATGTACTAAAATACCAAAACTGGCTGGTAAATTCAGAAAGCTATTAGCAGACAAAAAATTAGCATGAACCTGACTTTGAAATATAGTTTATGACTTTAAAAGTTTATAAGATTGATTTTGTCGGACTTGTGTCCATTTGACTAACAACACAAACTATAAAAATATTTTCCTCTCCCTTTGTTATCACTCTTGCAGGTATTTTTAGGTATGATATGAGGATCATTGTTGCCAAAGGCAGCTGCACTTTGCTGCCATCTCCTGCCATCTGCTGGAGTTGATGGGATTTGCAACAACTGAAGGTTTTTCATGGAATCTGATTGGTGATCCATTGCAGAAATAAAGTAACAGCCTTTTGTGCTTGTTTTAATAATTTCTGCATTCTGTTGAAGATCTCCAGGTTTAAAAAGAAAATAAAAGGTTAGTTTCCTTTCAAAGATGTCTTTATAAAGGAGATAAAAGGCTAATCTACTTTTTTTAATAACTTAAATTACATAAAAGTCTTTGTGATTTTTGAGGAAAACATGAACTGTCTGATCTCAAACAACAATGCTCCAAAATATTTAATGAGATTTTGAGATTGAGTCAAACTGAAGGAAACTGGTTGTACTGGATTTTATTTAGGAATAAGTTGCATTACATTGATTTGTGCATCTGTATTTAATGTGTCATTAAGCTTCCACTTAACAGTTATGCACTTCTTTGTTCTGGTGACTCAGTAAAATCCCAGAAAATTATTTTATTTACAAATTTTTACCAATATTATCATTTGTAAAATGATAAAATGTGGAAGAGATGTTAATATTTTTAATGAAGTGCATTATTGAACACTCACAAATTTTGAATATAAATTAGGCTTTCTGGTATAGAAAAGAAAGTGGCTGCTGCATTGTTGGCAGAATAAATTCAAAACTAGAAGTTTATTGTGACTTTTTAGGCAAACTAAAGATCTGAACACAAGAGGGCTCTCTTGTTTCATCTAAGATCAGGAGACTTTCAGTACTTTAATATTTTGCAAGAAGGTTTTAATAAAGGTTTTCTTTTTTAGCCATTTGTTTCATACTGACCCAGAAAAGCTGAACTTTAATGTTCGTTTTCTTATCAAACTGTAGTTGAATTGAATTAGTTCCTGCAAGAGATTCTTTTCCAATTATTCACTCCTTTCCAACAGCAGCTGGCTGCAGCTCACTGCTCAGGTCTAACTGTTGTCACAGCTCTGTATTAAAGGACAATTCAGAGATTTGATGCTGGTGATTAAATCACGTTTATTAGTTTGGCTGCACATCTGTCTTGCTGTAGGTTGTAAGCTTTGTAAGTTTGTACGGTAAGAAAACTTTATATTTACTATAATTTATACTTTAGTATATGCAAGAAGACGGGTCTGTTTCTTGATTTACCAGCAGCAGAGGGTTTAGAAATATTTGACTGAAAGTTTTGGTTTTAACATTTACATCAATAGTTTCAAGAGCCATCTTTTAATTACGTTGTTTGTACTTTTAAAGTGTATGTTCAGATGAACAATGTGGCTAAATAGAAAGGCTCTAACTGCTAACTTGTGTTCCTTTATAAATCACTGAATGCCTTGTTGGCTGCGGGTGATGGAAGAGGAAACAAAGAGTAGATTTTCAGAAACAAGTCCTGGTGTAAATGAGAAACATCCTCTCCAAACTCCACAGTGATTGGACTAATGTCAGGTTCATTGGTTTCTGTTGTGGTAATGTCTGAATAATTCAAGCTTTCTCTCACCTCTAACCTCTGTTCATATCCCTCTTAAGCACTTCCAGCCCCAAAAAACAGCCAATGCAGGAACCTCAGATGGACTGATCCAAATGTAGAAGTGTTGTTGAAATTGTTAAAATTGTGAGTTTTGATTATTTTGAGGTGAGCTGAGGGAGTTCTTGCTTGTTTACAGCAGAACGTTTACATGATTATGTTTGTACAATGAACAATAATCTAATGAACAGAAATCAATGGAAAAGCTTTAACCTTCTTCCTGTGAACATCGACTTAGAGCTTAAATCAGAATGTACCTGAAAATGTTTCTGATTTTAACACCCATTCATCAAAACATTTGTCACAGCCAGTCTGAGTCTGTTATGGGCCTCACTTGTAAAATAATCAATCAGTCTGCTCAGACCACACTGGTCAGTTTCTGAATCTTTTAACTGTCTCTGGTCTTTTGTTGCCTTATTTTTGTCTTCAAACCTAAAAATATCTCTTGAATATATTCAGAGATAATGAAAAGCTTTGCACTTTGCACAACAGGTTTTAGATTAAATCAATGAAAAATATAAT